AAGGAGAGTTTCTGGAGCCACTATACATTTAGAGAAAATAATTAAATGTTACAAAATTTTCGGAGTATTATTAAAATCTGGAAAATAATGCAAAATATTATCTGATATTGTACGTAAATTCCGATACACAAAATGTTACAAAGTTATAGTACATCCATTAGAGTGTTGCCATTTATTCGATGTATTCAACAAAAACCTAATAAACTACATGGCATATGTGTACGATTAATAATATCGTTATTACAACTACTGTGAATTTAGAATTCGTTAAATGTGAAAAACACTGTGAAATATTTACACTTTTGTTTATTAAAAAAATTATCGTTACAATAAATAAATCTGGCACAGACATAATTTTGTATGCTATGTTATGTATAATTTAGCTATGCTAGATCGTACTTAGGGCAATGCAAAAATGTACAAAGTGCGTGTTATTCAATTTCGTTTTTTAAAAAATATCTTAATATGTTCGGTTTTGTGACCATCAAATGCACGTAAACATTTTAATCATTTAAAATATTATTATAAGTACTTGTGTATCTCTTATATTGTTATTTCGAGTAGGTGTAGTTCTCTTACATTGCTATTTTAAGTACGTGTATCTCTCTTACATTGTTTTTCTTTTTTATTATGTGTATTTTTTCAATATAAAAGAAACGATTGCAATCAATTATAAACGTTAACAACCCCAAAGTAACAGATTTTATTCGCACTATAATATCATTTTGCAGTAATTTAGTGTTGTAATTTAATAAAAATTCGCTGTACATACGTTCACAGTTGTTTCGGGATTAATGCAATTAACGAAGCATCTCTTGATGTGACTTAAGGAACAAGGAGCTATATTTATGGCCTCGTATTGTATGATCGAAATGAAATTTTGCAATGCCACTTACTGGATTTTAATACACTGATGCACGGTTCAATGGAGTCAAAAAACTGAGGTATGAAGAAGGGAATGAATGTTACGCTAGCTTAGGCTTGCCATTGGCAGTGATGGTGGCATTCAATGTTGTGTTTGTTGCCGCTTCAGCAGCACGTGCCACTGCTACCGAAACTGACTGCTCCACAAATTGTTGGTAGAGTGGTTTCATGAACTGAAGAGAAATAAAAATAATTTTTCATAATATTAATACTGATTCATATGACAACTTTCAATAATTAAATATGTGTATAGATAAATTATCATAATTCTTGTCAATCGTATATGCATTATATAATAATATGAGAAACGAACATGAAAACTGTAATGTTCAGTTAAAAATATGATCGTATTAATTTTCGAAGCTTAAGGGAACATGATATATTCGAGACAGAATGCGTAACAGTTCTTGATAATTATATTGTGCAAAAATGAAAATTACAGTTATTTCTCTATTTACTATAAGCAATTATCATACCTTTTGAATACTCGATCCTGTTAGCATTCAATTTTTTTATCCAAATCAAAGAAGAAAAACAAATAAAAAAAGATGTAAAAGAAATAATATGAAAGATCAAAATCACATAATTGAAAGGTATGGTACCAATAATAATGGAATGTATGTAAATACTGAGCAACCAATAAACCTGAACACTGTTGAATAAGAAAATGCTTAACTGCGCTTAAGGGACGATACCTTTGAATTGTTCAATAAGTTGGAAAATTTAAAAAAATTTTCTAGATCAGAATTATTGTTTATTAAAAGTTTAACATATACATTTTATTACATGTTATGTTCTTAGTTATTTCTGAAAATTTTTAGCTACATTAGCAAAATGACTGATGTGTACGTTAAATTTTTAATAAACCATAATTCTACATCTAGAAAAAATGTTTGCATTTTTTCTCTCATTTCATAGTTCAAAGGTATGTATTCTCTTAAAACGATCTATATAGTTTGTTGAAAAAATCATAGGTCTTGTTAACATGCAAATTGTTAAGAAAATTATAAATATTTTTCATATGCAGATTATCAAAGAAATGATAAATGTTTGTTGTATATAGACTTTTTAAGAGGCTGTTAATATATATGGAATTAAATATTAAATTTTTAGCAGACTCATTTGTATGTGTATACATGGATAAAATAAAATGAAACTGTTTTCGAAATTCCAATACAGCAGGGATGAGTAGAATAAGTGCAATAAGAGTACTTATAATCCCAACCTGTAGAAATAAAAAAATGGTAGGAATGAATTAGGAGACATGACAAAATGGTAAGTATTGGTTACATGAGGCGAGGCATTTAAAACAGGTTACTCTAATAACTCATTCACTTTTAGTGACAGAAAAAAAATATTCGTGCTAGAATAAACAATCTCAACGTGGAGTAATGACAGTGCTCCAATTGCAGGTTGCACAAAAGCCTGAGAGGGCTTTGCAGCCAGAAAATTTAGTTTTCGTGAAACGTATTTACCATTTATTTCTTTACAATCACTAAAAATAAACGAGATATTTAAGTAGTCCATTTTAAATATTTCACCGTGTAATGAATTATTTACATTTCAATGTTAAATCATGCCGCGCACAAGGTTGCAGTAAAATGAAGAACTATCTTTTACAACAGAGATAACATCGTAGATACATAGATTTTTCTTTTTAAAATACAAATCAGGGAAATTTGTTTACGGTATACGTTCTAAATACTAAGGCTATAAAAAATATTCATAAAAATTTTGTACGTAAAAAAACTTAGAGAAGTGCTCTTGATATATACAACATATACATTATAAATTTACTACTTTTTCGTAACTAGATTTTGTACAAGTTAGTTTGTACAGTTATAGATAGAAGTGAAATAATATTATTTCCTATAATATTTATTAGTAACATTAGTATTTGTAGTTACGGCTACGATTATTTCTTATTAGTTGGACGCTTTACATAAATAAAAGCTGGGAAAATGTTCTTGGCTTTTGCGAAAATTCTGCATATGAAATATAAGACAAGTTTAGTTGCTTTCGCGTCCATAGAGTCTTTACAGGCATTTTTAATTAATGCATTGTTCTCCACATATACACACACGCGCACGTACTATAATAAAAGTAATCCTATCAAGATCGTGGAATCCCTAAAATTCTATATAGAGAATGAAAAGCACATTACTTACATTATACCACAAGGCATTTGCCACATCATCTAATGCCGAACCGAATGATCTGAAATTACCACTGTACCTGTACGAATAAACAATAAAAAAAGCATTTGTAATGTGACGACGACACAAAGGAAAATATTGGTTAAGTTAAATGCGACTCTGTACCTTATATACGTCCATAAAATAAGTGTTACTATACAAACACCAAGAGCAAAATTGAAAATATTTGCTATAGGGTATAAACCAGTAAAACCAAATATTCCGGATAAGAAATACATGAGGGTAGCAATCACGAAAAACACTGCTGGAGTACGGGCTGCCTTAAAAATGTTTTTACTCTCATTGTGCTCCTTGAACTGAGTGAAAGCATCATCCATGTCCTATAACGAAAAAAAGACGCTATATAACTTTATATATATATACACACATACATAAAGGATATCGAAACGTTGAAGGACGTTATTCAAAATTTGAATGGAACCTTATCCAATCCTGATTTGCTTTAAACTTTTCACATCAACCATATTCCATACCGTGCTTTAAGCCTGAGATTCATAACACAAAAAATTCGGTAACCCTTGCGATTTTTTCTCAAAGAAACTACGAAGCGGTTCTTTTCGAAAACTTTTAGGGCAATTTCTCATATTCAAGGAAGATGTGCTAATATTATTTCGTTAAAGAGTACTTGGTATAAATGGACCTTCTCCTTCAAATGTTCAACTTCAAAAGCGCATTCTCCGATCTCTATGGGGATAATATTCGACCAGTGTCTCACCTTCTTCAACTTCTCCATGTAAGTCTGACTGAACTCATCGCCTCCCATTTTCCTCTTATTTTGGAACACGTAAATAGCTTTGTCGACGCAACGCAAATGCTCGGATTCCAAATGCGCCGTTCCCAAGAACGGTTTTTTCCCGCCGCAAACGTCTTCCATCGACTTTATGTAGAGCTCCTTAGCTTCCGCGACCGCGGTCAAGTTGTTCGCTTCCGCCGTTGCCTGGAAATTTGAACAAACGTGTATAAACGATCTCCGAGGCGAGAAGGCAACGGACAGCAATCGATAGCAAAAACTTACCACCAACATACTTTTAGGTTCCGGGAGTTCGTCTCCCTTGTAAATTTTCATGTAACTCTTAAAATACTCCAACAGATCCTTCGCCTTCACGACCTGGCCATTGATCTTCTTCGTGACTAACTTTTCTGGCGCTAATATCATCGGTATCAGCTCCCTGAGCTGCTCCTTGAAGTCCGATTGGATCTCGGACAGTCTGCCATCGAATCTCGGGTTCGTGGCGATGTTTAGACCCGGGTGTGGCATGAGGAAACAGGATATGTCCGAGAAGCAGGACTTGATGTGCTTCCTCAGGCTTTGCAATTCAGAGTGCTGTTTGTTCGAGACTTCCAGCCTGCGTTTCAAGATCGTGTTGCCACCTTCGGCGCCATAATTCGCCTCGTACGGGTAACTCCAGTCTCTGACCAAGAACTGCAACTTCTGGAACGGCGTGCGCCCGGACTTCTCCAACGCCAGCCTGCCGTACTCGGTGAACAGTTGCAAATGCTGAAGATCATCCTCTTGAATGTTCTGCGACAGATTGTAGATCTGCACGGACGACACCATCGTGCTCAACGCGAACACGGTCGCGCAGTCCCTGACCGTGGACTGGCTGTCGAACGCGCCTTGCGTATCCATTAAAATGATGGCCACCTTCTCGCCGGTCGGCAAGGTGCCGAGGAAAACTTTCGACCACATTAAGATCCCCGTCGTGTCTCGCTCTGAACCACCTTTCCACGAGAATCCGCTGAGCGGCTCGTCGTCTTTACCCAGCCAGGAGTCCGTTTCATTGTTGTTGTCGTACTGTCATACATTCATCGATTAGATCTTCGATAAAGGGTAGCCTAGTTAATTGGTGTTATCGTTAAGGAGCGGCGGTGTATGCGTCCAAATGGTATCTGATCGCGTCGTTTACATTTTCGATTGTTTACAAATTCGCCGGATAAAATTCGCACGATCATTTTTATCGCCGTTGCCCTCCAAAGACGCATCGAGGAAATTTCAACGAGGATCGACATGCACGCAGACATCGCCGCCTATCAGATACATCGGATAGATTTATTTGATTCGATCTAATCGTACCTTACAGTTCATGTATCGCAAGAAGAAATCGAGCAGGAAGCTCTTGCCTTTTCTAAAAGCTCCTGCCACCGAAACAACAACGACGCTCCTATCTTTGACGTCATCTTGGAGAAGGATCTCTGTCAAGGCTTCCTCGTTCAACTCGAAGGTGTGATCTGGATGAGCCAGTACAATGTGCACCGGTCTAGCCGGGTTCGATATGCTTTCGCTTTCTTTCTGTAGCCGTTCTATTCTTTCCGTCCAGCCAGGGTACTCTAAGGATGATCACGATTAGCAAAGCATTCTCATTCACGCTTCGTGCGAAGTCGAACAAAAAGATAGCATTGTGCTGCTGGTAACAGTTATTAACACTTGCGCACCGTTCGGATCGCCTGATCCGGAAAGCGAAGCCGAGTTCTTAACTATGTTGTTTACTACAAGAATATCTATAAATCAACGAGACATCGCCACGTTGCGCGGACAACAATGACTTTCCCTTTGGATTAACACTCGGTCCGGAGGATCGAATTCATTTGGATCCAGAGTATAAATATTGTTATTTTACTATCTAGTTGCTAAAAAATATTGCGAAATAACACACGTTCCGTTAGCCCAACGGTACACACGTGAACTTCTGAAACCAAAGTACATGCCCATAGACACCCAGGGTGTCTAGGGGTGCTCATAGACACCCAGTAAGAAGCGACATTTAATGATGATAATTTACAAATATCTATTTTTATAAATATTATCTATTTATAGATCTATCTATTTTTCATAAATATCTTTATTAAAATTAGTATAATGTAATAACATAATATAACTAAGACAATATAAATACGAGAGGCAGGTGAGGCTTCCTAATGGTTAGGGTACATCGGACCCCACGTGTGTACCGTCAGGTTAAAATCTATAGAAAAACTAGCGTGTTTAGACGTGAAAAAGATATGTTGAAAAAACATTGCTAAATAAAATCAGTTACATTTTCATCGAAAAAGTCCGCCGTTCGAGTGTTAACGCAAACGTTAAATGAATCTGCTAGCATAGAGCATTAAGATAGCGTTATCTGAACAGTATACAAGGGTTAACAATGTAGAAATTCATGTTCACCTCGGCAACATTGCGCACCGTTTATTACAAAAAGTAGAACTTGATCTTGTTCGGGACCGAAGATTTAGGAACGGATTGCGAAGGACGGCGAAGAAAGCACGGTATTTGGAAGGTCACGATATAGCTGACACACTGTCCAGGCACATGGACTCGCATGTGACGGTGTAATTTATCGCATGCGGCACAAAAACAAACAATCCGGGACTAACTGGCACCGGTTACGTATGTAACGCGCTGACCTGTGACACGTGAGTTCGAGCAACTGGTGAAGCTACAGGATTTAAATTGCTGCCAGAACACGTCCTCCTCGTACGTTCAAGGACCGTTTAAAACAATGCGATTTGCTCGGAGCGTACGTACAGGCTGGTGTAACGCGAGACGCACTCTGCGCTACAATTTCACAAAAAATGAATGAAACACTGGAGTGCAGATCTCGGAAAACGATTAACAAATTTCAAGCGTCCTCTTGCGTGGAGATAATAAATATTTCGGTAAGAAACACGTCGATCGGTCAACGATAATTGTTTATCGATTGAAAATATTCATTTGAAATCCTCCAATTCGGGTGGCTTCTGATTCTAGTGAAACGAAAGAACGAATAAACAACGAGTGAATTTAATAAATCGATGATAAGACTTTAAGTCGACCCTGATGTTTAATAGACTCTTTATTAACTACGCTACGATTGCAAGAAGATAGCAGCACACTTTTTGTGCTTTCTTTCACTTTTGTTTTTTTCATGAGGAATCACCCGGTGCGCGTTTGGACATACATTCATGGACACCTTGTATTCTTCAGGAGGCGCAGCGAAAGTAGTAAAAGAGCACCTTTCTCGAGAAAAAAATCGCGTTTTGGATTGGCCAGTAAAGCCAAGTAAAAATTTCAAAACATTGAAAAATATATGTATATTCACGATGAGTGGGGGCAACTAGAGCAAAAAAACTATTTAAAAAAAAAGTCTATAAATTTTTGCCAAAGATAACGACGACTGTTAACAATTGTAAAGGAGGGGCTGCAAAATATTAAGCATTAAATGTCATTCCTCGATTTATTGCTATACATGATTTCCACTCTATTATACTCTATTTCCATAAAAATTCTTTTTTCTTAATCAAATGAAATTGTTTAGGTTGGTGAAATACAATTCTATTTCATTTGTGTATGTTTACAGTGGTATTTTGCAAATGTCTATAGAAACAAAACCTTGATTGCAATGTTAAATAAATAAAAAATTACGTTAATTTTAAAGTGCGCTATCTTTTTGTCCCAGAGTGTACGTTGTTCCTGCAAGTTTAATTGCAAGTCACTTTAAAATGCTAATCTCAGCAATTAGCTGATATACCACTCCGGACAATTTGTAGCTCTGCAGATAAAGTTGCTACCGAATGATTCATCAAAAGAACCTTCAATTATTTCTATTTAACTTTTTGCAGGACTAATTAATTGAACTACAGTATAGATTCCCTTATTTATTTTTACAATATTCCGATATCCAAACGTTCAATTATCTAATCATTGTATTATTTAGATACATTATCGCCTGGCAGAGAAATTGAATGCAATTTTTAAACGATAGAACGTTTTGGTATCAGAATATCAGAAAAACAAACCTTCGGATAAGAAGGTTCTGCTGATAGAGAGTCTCTGCTGTATTTTTAAATATCGAAAGCTCTGTGCCCTTGAAAGTTTATGTGTGTCCCCCCGATCTATATATTAATTTCTATCGTGCAGAACTTCCGAGCGATTTTAAACGATCTAGTCGAGCAAGTCGTCTACAACGACAGCACAAGCACGGACGGTAAAAACATAATTACTGTAGAAGTGTAGGTCTCAAGGGCTTCCTCCTGCACTTTCGTTTTCAAGTGCAGTTTCAACGGCACGCGATTACCCGGTGCGTGCATACCATACAATGATAAACTACCCAGAGATCTCCCACGATTCACTTTCGACCCGTTTTTATAATGCGCGCATAGTATGTATAATTGCACGTGAACTGAATTGCCAGTAGAGTCACGTGCACGTCGCCGTTTACGAGAATCATCTTCCAGGCATTCGTGGCATTCGTAGAACTTTTTGCGATACAATGGCTTTCGTTGTGCTTGTGCACGCCGAGTTAAGACGCGACATCGAGGATAGCATAATATTCCAGGCATTTCTCTTTGTCATCTCTATTTGTGCCGGTTATGAGAATACTCGGATACGTTTGTTCAAGTTCTTAGCCTGCTTAACTAACTTTGGTTAAGTTATATAATAACGGAAGAATGACTTGGCATCTGATGAGAGGAATTAATAATGTTCGTGCATTATTGCTATTCGTTGCTACGTGCAACGTTCTTCAAATATCAATGGTGCTGCTGCTCTATGAGATTGATTAGTTTCAATCTTTCGTTGAAGCAAACTGGTTTTACACGTTGAAGCTTTACTGGTTAAAGCTTCTGGTTTTACACCGGAGATACGTCCCAGAAAGAACCGTGTAAAAAAGGAAAGAAAATACGCGTACACACGTAGAAAAATAATACTGCCCTAAATGTATCTGGAAAATTCCGGTTAATGCAGAGAATTGTTCTTAACATTCAAAATCGAACAACTTTTTTAAACGTGCCAAATCGAATGAAATCGTGCGGAAAGGAAATTGAATTTATTTGATCAGGGCGTGTGACAACAGAATTGGGTGCATTGCTTCGTAAAATACATATAAAACAGTGCAATGAACCTGTTAACCAAATGACCTCTCAATCGCGATCTTTAACGCGAACGTAGTACGAGGCAAATGTGATCCAAAGTTGGCTTCAATTTAGGGTAATGAATGGGCGCACCTTAGGATAAAACGAGATAGAAAAAGTCAAGCTACTCGGATTATACGTGTATTGCTCGGATTGACTTCTTATCGTTGCGATTTCATTGACGAAAACTGTTTGTATACCGTATTCCTAATGCCTGACTCGAGCATACGATGGAAACGATATACTTCGAACGAAGAAGAATGCATCATTCGATATGAAAATCGAAACTATGGAGAGACTATTGCGAAGAAGAAGTCGCCGCGTAAGAGAGACTTTCCTTGTCCTATTCCAGGCGATTGCCGAGCTGGTTCTCCGACAAACACAGCTATTACACAGCGTTTTATTTAAGACTGACAAGAGGAACTTAAGATCATGGAGATCGCTTTTGAATCGAGAATGGATCGAAGTTATAATACACACGTAACATCAAAAGAGCCTAATAGGAATTTTCAAAACGGGCCTCCATTTTGCAGATATTTTGATTTCAAGCGTGTACGCAACCATATGCATAACATATGCAGAATGTTCATCTGAAATCTTTAAATCTAAATGTCTCGAAAGCAACACATCTTCAGGAAAAATGTTTCACGATTTCAAAGAACGATAATAAACTTTTGTGTGAAACATTTCTCCCGAAAATGTGCCGTTTTCGAGACGTTTACGCTAGATCTTTTCAAACGATATATGGTTGCATACAAACTATAACCCTTTGCACTCGAGTGGTGACTCTGAGACACCGCTAAAATTGTTATATCACTACTATATATTCTAAGATAATTTTTATATTACCAAAGTTTAGATTTTAAACATTATTGAAAGTGTAACCGTGGTATGAATCACGAGACTCAATTTCGTATGCGTAAAACGCACTTCGTCTTGTAAATTGAAAGTACTGCAAGTCAGAAAAATGATTTTAGATTTACAAGTTAAAATGGCTTCGCGAGTGCAAAGGGTTAAATCAAATACCTGAAAAAACGAAATCGCATTTGGAAAAAAATGCTACGAGAGTCATTTTTCTTTTTTAAATATCAGGTACGTACTGTAACATTAATCTATTCTCGTTTAAAAAGCGATTACCACGATCGTAAGTTCCCCTTTTGTAAGTGCNTTATTTGATCAGGGCGTGTGACAACAGAATTGGGTGCATTGCTTCGTAAAATACATATAAAACAGTGCAATGAACCTGTTAACCAAATGACCTCTCAATCGCGATCTTTAACGCGAACGTAGTACGAGGCAAATGTGATCCAAAGTTGGCTTCAATTTAGGGTAATGAATGGGCGCACCTTAGGATAAAACGAGATAGAAAAAGTCAAGCTACTCGGATTATACGTGTATTGCTCGGATTGACTTCTTATCGTTGCGATTTCATTGACGAAAACTGTTTGTATACCGTATTCCTAATGCCTGACTCGAGCATACGATGGAAACGATATACTTCGAACGAAGAAGAATGCATCATTCGATATGAAAATCGAAACTATGGAGAGACTATTGCGAAGAAGAAGTCGCCGCGTAAGAGAGACTTTCCTTGTCCTATTCCAGGCGATTGCCGAGCTGGTTCTCCGACAAACACAGCTATTACACAGCGTTTTATTTAAGACTGACAAGAGGAACTTAAGATCATGGAGATCGCTTTTGAATCGAGAATGGATCGAAGTTATAATACACACGTAACATCAAAAGAGCCTAATAGGAATTTTCAAAACGGGCCTCCATTTTGCAGATATTTTGATTTCAAGCGTGTACGCAACCATATGCATAACATATGCAGAATGTTCATCTGAAATCTTTAAATCTAAATGTCTCGAAAGCAACACATCTTCAGGAAAAATGTTTCACGATTTCAAAGAACGATAATAAACTTTTGTGTGAAACATTTCTCCCGAAAATGTGCCGTTTTCGAGACGTTTACGCTAGATCTTTTCAAACGATATATGGTTGCATACAAACTATAACCCTTTGCACTCGAGTGGTGACTCTGAGACACCGCTAAAATTGTTATATCACTACTATATATTCTAAGATAATTTTTATATTACCAAAGTTTAGATTTTAAACATTATTGAAAGTGTAACCGTGGTATGAATCACGAGACTCAATTTCGTATGCGTAAAACGCACTTCGTCTTGTAAATTGAAAGTACTGCAAGTCAGAAAAATGATTTTAGATTTACAAGTTAAAATGGCTTCGCGAGTGCAAAGGGTTAAATCAAATACCTGAAAAAACGAAATCGCATTTGGAAAAAAATGCTACGAGAGTCATTTTTCTTTTTTAAATATCAGGTACGTACTGTAACATTAATCTATTCTCGTTTAAAAAGCGATTACCACGATCGTAAGTTCCCCTTTTGTAAGTGCAGATCGAGCCGGTTCCAGCGTCAACTGCGAGGAGAGACACAAACGAGCTAGAGCGCGTTCGAAACTTACGTGACGAAGCGTCTCGCGAAGGAGCCCCGAGCGATTACTTATTGCAAGCGAACGGCCAATTATACTCGCGCGAACACTAATTCTGCCTCCTCTCTTCGCTTCCGTCTTCGCCTTTTACGTCAGGGCTCTCCTCGTCATCGTCGACCGTCGTCGCGCGTCTGCAAAATACACACCGTCTGCCGTCGCCGTTGCTGCCATTGCCGCTGCACCGTTCGCTGCAACCATCGTCGGTAGCTACCTTGCAATCTCCCATTTACACGAATCATTACCGCATTAAACTCGTAAATAGAGGGCGTCGAATTTCTCATCTGGAACGGGAGACCCGCGGCGCCGACCCGGCACGAATAAAAAGGAAATACGAGAATTTAATTAACCGGCTGAATCGGGAAGAAGGGAGACGATGCGATTGCAACGAGTGCACCGCGAAACCTGAAAACATTGTGCGCGGCGTACTCCGCCCTTCGCTCTTTGCCCGATAAGCGAATAAAGGAATGTTAATTACCCGGAGCCGCGAGAATCTGATCAGAGCTCTACGGCCTTCGCGGAAACCGGACGAGGTGCGGTGTTGACTTTCTCCGGGACACGGTTTTTCGAGATTGATTCACGGAAATTGGATAAGTCGGCTGAGTTCTAGAGTGCAAAGAAGTGCATTTTGCTGCGCTGTCTTCGAAGACGCAGTCGCGGACGTCGCGATAACCGCAGTTATCTGGGGCTTCGGGTCTCGCGCCGCGCAGCTTGCGACTAAAATTATACGCGTTCGTTTGAAACGATTTCCTTGGAACATACGAGATCCGAGAAGATTGGGAAAATAATTACCGTAATGTGTTACGCCGAGTGTCTCTGACGTAATCACCGAGAAGTTTTTGCTTCATGGTAATCTGGCACGAGCTGGTTAAATGGTCTCCCGGTTCTCTCGAAAACAAGTATCACCGCGCCTAATGAGTACAATTACGTAGATACTCGACATGTAATCACATTATCAGTTTTCCTTCAGCCTGTACGTGCCTGGTACAGTGTTTCCAAATCGATGTAAGAAGGGAACACGTTGCCGAACATAGTGCCGCGCCGAAAGATTATTTGCTTCGCGTTTTGTATAATCTTCGAGCGTCTCACTCGCAAAGTAGTTCACGTTGTTCGCCGGAGCATGCGGAAGGAGGTGGAGCATCGAATAAATATCCGATTCTCGTGGAGACAGTGGATGGTTGACAGAGTTTAATTATTAGAGGACGCGGCGGAAAGCGCCACAGTCGAGGATCGAGACGCTTAAAAAGGGGCGCGAAACACGGAGAAAATCGGTTGAAAGACTCACCCGCTGATTCGTTTGTTGTATAGACCCGTGGCACACGGTTCACATTCTCGTCTAAGGTCGTCATCGCAACTTTCTCGGCTGAAAGCAAATTTTGCGAGCGCACATTTAGTTCCACCTGTTCTCCACTCGTCTATTTCGGTTACGCGCATGCATCCGCCTCGCGTACGTTCCCTACGCCCCGCTCGCAGAATCGTTTCAATATCGTCTCGCGATAAAATCGACCGCTTTTGTGGCCATCGGATCGAACCGAAGATAAAAGGCAACTTGCAAGTCAGCATTCGAAAGATTCTTACAAATCGAGCCACGAGGCTCGGCGAGATCATGTGCACAACTTTCGATTCTTGTTGAATCTGGATGTTCGAGGGCCTGTCCCGACGTAGGCTACATCTCTAAGCACCGACGATTGGAAATTCTTAGAAATGTCGTATACGCTTAACGTTCGACGGCAGACAACGAGAGCTTAAGGTCACGAATCGAGGGGAATCTTTACAGTCAAACAGCGGCAATTCGAGTTGTCGGCAAAGTCGCGGTGCGGAACAGTCGTTGCTAGACTGCGGTTTTTTGTATGCGGAATAAAAATTGTTCACAGCAATTCTAAGAAACAGAAACCAAATAGAAAGCTTACTCTTTTCTACATAATTTTAGCGGACTACAAAGATTCTTTGAATCTATCAACTATTTTAAATCGCAGCTGCTCATTTTCGCCGAAAATACGTGAAATCCGCCGTCCGAAAGTCATTACTTCCGAAGTTCATCTATCGTGCTCGATGCTATAGTCGTTGTCCGTTGCAGCGAACGTAACATTATCATAGTTCAAAGTATTTCCGTGAAGTGACAGTGGGGACAAGTGGATCATTTCCAATTCTCGAATCAATTATGCGGAGAGAATGCGACATTAGAAACTCACGATTGCATTGCCAAAACGCAACGTTCGGCTGACAACACGAGCAGTGACGTACTAGAATGATCGATCGCTCTATCCTCTTTACGATTCAAAAAGGAATGGCCAGCGTGAGACACCGATACCCATCGTTCCACAACTGTCCCTTTCCTCGACCTCGACCAAGTAAAATCAGCGATCACCGGTTTTCAACTGATCTCGAAATCGTACCCTCGTAGGCAGCGATATCGGAGCGCGTTCCCCAAGGCAGAGCCCAGCGATAGCTACTTTCCGATCAAAATAAATCCATGCTATCATCGTTGGACACCGACGCGCATGATTTTATCATTCTAATCGCCGATACCACGAGATCCGTAAACGGAATAATATTACACGACGGAGGCTGCTATCCGGGACTTCTGGTAATAAGCCAGTTCGCTGTACGAGTTTCAACAGTAGTACTTTATCTAGTACTTAAAAGTCGTCGTATCGTTTCACCAGCGTGCTCCAAGCTACCGAAACTCGTTCCAAAATCTCTGGTATCACGCCAATTCTCATCACAATCGAACCCCCCCCCCCCGGATTCTATTGAACCTCGAACNCGAGTTTCAACAGTAGTACTTTATCTAGTACTTAAAAGTCGTCGTATCGTTTCACCAGCGTGCTCCAAGCTACCGAAACTCGTTCCAAAATCTCTGGTATCACGCCAATTCTCATCACAATCGAACCCCCCCCCCCCCGGATTCTATTGAACCTCGAACTGTGTACCCGGCATCACATTTAACCGATCCCGCGTCACGGATTATATTTTAGGCGCCGTGTTTTGACCAACAACTCCATTAGGAATCTCCGCCGCGTTCTGGTAATAAGCCAATCTACGGAATCTTTGGAAACGGCACTGCCGGGTCTTGCAAGGTCTTCGATCGATGAGAACGGGACCACGAAATCTGGAGCCGGGCTGCTCTCCAGGGCACAGAAGGTTTCCGAATCGAAATCGTCCTCGACCAACCTACTTGGCTCGTCGGTTTGTGGCACAGCTGAAGAGCGACAAGTGTCGCTAGAAGATCCACGATCGATGACCATAGAATCGCGAAATTAATTTTGAACCTGAACTGGGTCTTGGGACACAGAGGCCTCCGAATCGAAATCGTCCTTACTTAGCTCATCGGGTTGTGACATAATCGAAGGTAGAGTTTTAGGAAGGAAGATCTACTAGAATTGTAGAGATTTACTAGAGGAAGGTTTTCGATCAATGGTACGCGGAACCACAAAATCAACGTTGAACCTCGCCCGGGGCGCAGACATTTTCAAATCGAGACCGAGAATCGAGCCGTCCTGGATCTCCTACTCGACCGGTCAATGTTGTATCGTAGCCGAAGATCGACGATTGCACTAGCTCTTAGGACATCAACGACACCGCAGGAACAATGACGAGCCTGGGGGGCGCAGATATTTTGGAATCGAGGTTGCGATTCGAGCCGCCCTCGATCCCTTACCCAGCTGATCAGCTCGCGTCGCAGCCGCACGCTGAAGATCGCGTTCGGATCGGCTGCGTTCGTGGGAGGGAACAGATCCCGGCAGCTAAACGAGCTTCCAGACGCGGTCGAATCGGCTGGTAAGCTGTACCCGACCGCGTACTCGAGCGATCATGCCTATTCACAGGTGTATTTCGAGCGCACCACGATTCGCGTTCCGCTGGCTGGCGGTCTCGTTCGCGCGGATCGGCTGGTTCCTCGTCCTCGGGGGCTTGATCGGCTCCCTTGACCTCGTCGCCGCCGGTTCCTCTACCCGTCTCCGGGTCGGTGGTATCTTTTTCCTCTCGCTCATCGCGGTCGCTCACATCCGTCACGGGGTAACAACTTCGAGCAGGGGAACGCGACGGAGACGCGAGCGAACTAGCTCCGGAGCCCGCTCCGTATCGGCACGCACAAACGACGCTCCGCGCGCACACACGATCAACTAGTAAGTCGCCGCGGAGCCGACTAGAAATATCCTGGTGGTGGTAGCCAGCCGATGCGATGGGTCTCTGTTAGGCGGCGGAGAGTCCGCGAGTTGGCAGCATCCCACAATCAACAAATACCGGTAAAGCCTGGGTGACACGGTTGCGGTGTGTCACCTTGTATCGCGACTGACCGTGCACGGCATTACGTCTCTCATCATTCTCTCTTTCTCTCTCTCTCTCTCTCTCTCTGCGCCTTTCACTACAGCCCAGGCCTTTTTTTAGCGCAGACACCCTGCCGGCAACCCTTCTTCACAGCCCCGACCCGGCATTCTTTTGGAGATTCAAGAAGACCGCTTAACCCCTTGCCTACCACACCTATTCAAATTTACGTAACCACTAATTACGGTCTCGCAGATCGCTAATGTTTATTGCGTTATTGTCGACGTAAAAGTGAAGAATCGAAGTCGATTGTTTTTACTTTGCACATCGGCGACGAAGGGGTTCGCGTTCGATTGATTAAGAAGCGAGTGTATTGAAAACGTTTTACAATCTTACGTACGATTATGTTATCACCACTTTTGGACCTCTTCTTTCGTTTGGAATTTCTTTAGGAGATCGCGTGTGCCCAGATTTAGGGGAACATTAAATGTCATCCGTTTGACCTGTTACAGGAAGAGTGTGCGATTCTTTTCCCGCTGCCACTGGCAAAAAGTATTGTTCGAACACCTTTAAAAACGCAATAACTTTTTCAAAACCCGACTAAAGGAGTTGAAACTTTTTTAAAATTTTAAGACTGGCACTTTATTGTGCGATGACTGGAGAACTTTCTTTCAATTTTTCTGAAGGTGGAACGAGGGTTTAAAATATCGATTTAAAACTCGGCAACGTATATGCAAACTGAACATTTCATCGAAATCAATTTGTAATAAGACAATGAAGAATCGTCTGAAAAAACAGAAAACTTGTTACACGTGTTCGTATTATCTAAAAGAAGAAACGAAGTGTACTTGCGAAAAATCTCGCTCTCCGATCTGCTTAAAGTGTGTAGATAAGCTGAGTGGCACAGAAATAGCTCGACGAGAACATATCTTAAAATCCATCTGAACTATCCCTTTGAATTCGTGTAATTTTCCTTGATTTATCCTAGGTGTCAGAAATCGGCTCTTTTTAATTTTTCAAAACGATTACGCGATTCTATTGGATGTGTAATAAGTCTGTTAGCCAGCTGCACAGACTATATTTTCTTACGAATTTTTCTTATTGCATAACCTAATATAATCTCAGCCTATATCTATGTGTTATGTCATTAGGCTTGTCTAGTTCAGGGTCGGTGAAAGTACGGAAAAATTGGAGTATTCTCTTCTGTGTGAAATTATATTTTATCAAGAAATTGTTAGTATCATTCAAAAGTATGTAGACTCATCTAAATGTACGAAAAATTTTATTGAGCGATAAATTGATAGGTACGGTGTAAAATTTTATGGAAAATGTTAGAAATATGAATAAAGTTGGTAAGTAAGTAATTAGAATAAAGTTTAACACTTTATTTAATAACAATTACAAAAGAAATTATTACACAATATTAGGCCAAACAATTTGTTGAATTATGAATGTAGTCGCTCTTCAGGCATTTTTTAAAGAGAAACACCCATCTGTTGATCTTCGATCTTTCAAGTTACTGTTATACAACGGAATAAAGTGTTAATATCCTTGGAACAATTTGCAGAACAATGGTGCATAGAATGAAGAAAAATGAGGAATAAATTGAATATGCGTGAAGATAATAACGTCCAGATGCGTGGTCATCGAGTTTAAATGTCACGCTAAACGGCACAGATATGCGTCAGTGTACCTGGGAAAGGTTAATTTAAATGTATAGGACGTTCCAGTGGTTCTGAGCGCGAGGAATTTATTGGAATTTTACCAAAGCTGCCGACATAGTTTCTTTATTAAAATTTATTTTCTCTTTGCGAATGATATATACTTTGAACTCCACGGAAAAGAATACCTTTCGTGTCTGTTGCCGAGACTCGTGTTCTTGTTCGAAAAACGTAGAAAATCGATTACGAAAGTTTTCTCATTTGTACCAATTCAACTGTTATTTCATTTGAAACATCGGAGTTTCCACATGTAGGTCCTCGAGCTATGTCCGATCATAAACCATCTCACCCCTCCCTGCTCAGCTACTTTATCTCTCTTCTATCGTTTTAGTTGAAATTTTACCCGACTATGTATTCATTATTCTCCTATAAATTAGTTTCCATCTGTGCTTTCAGTTCGAATTTTTAAGGCATACCAATCTTCTCAGGAAAAGAAGATACTGTTCACCGATACTGGTTTTAAAATCTGAATCGGGAATGACGAATTTATAAAGTACACGGTGAGTCGTTCAACCCTTTCACCTTCAATCTTCTTGCGAACCGCGTGCTGCATAAAAAAAGATCTCGATTTCGACGAAAGATAAAAAAGGAAAATAGCAAATAACTCACGTTCGAAACATCTTTTTATGCAACATGTAGTTTATAATAAGAATCGAGGTGAGATAATAAAATAACTCAGACGGTATAATGAAAGCTGCGTTACTGTTAACAAAAATTAATTTCTAACGGAATCGGATTTTCTCTAAACAGATTTCCAAAAGTTCCGTTTACTCGTCTCGATCGCCAGCTGCGATTGCAAAACGTTACTCAACGATTGATATTTATTGTTGCCGCGCGAGCGAAGATCGTAAACCGAGGCGACAAGACATCGAAAAGCGGAGCTTAAATTCTTAACCCCGGCAAATCGGAAAGTTCGCGGAGGTTGATAGTTGGCAATGCTCCTTCAAACGGATATTACTAGCTGGCTAGTGAACGGCGGGCGGTCGGTTTGCGTCGTATGCAGAATTTTGCAGTCGAGTGCGGCCTATTTTTAACCGGTTCTGTTTATTTTTGCTTGAATTTGGTCAGGCACACGAACACTCGCGCGCACGCCCGCGGCCCGTTCGGATTTTGCTTCGCGTAATCGGAACGGAAGCGTATCGACGACGCCGCGAAGCAAATAAAGAATACGGAAACGGTGGCGGCGATTGTCGTTCGTCGAATCTCTCAGCCCCGTAATCGCGACATTGCGTAACGAAACGATAAACGTAGGCAATCCCGCCAACGATGCCACACGTGGTGGGCGTGGAGCAGATAATAATAAAAACGTTAACTATCGAAAGAAACGTGAACGAAAAGATAATGATTTCTTTCGAATTTTTCTGCCGCCCGCCGTCGTAGTTGCCGCCCTCTTATCTTTTATCGTTCGGTTTCGCAACGTTGCGCATGGCGCGGACTCGTTAACGATACAATTGATGACGTCGCGGTAAACAAGAATTTAAATGCCGCGATCATCGAGCGGGAAAGAATTTTTATAAATAGAGTAAACTCGCGATTACGTATCCGTTTGCCAGATATACATATACATATACGCATTATTCTCTGCTAATATTTAACGTTCGAGCCAAGAGCCAGGAACGAAAGAATTACGACCGGAGGAAAGCTCAATAACGAGTTAAATATTATGTGTACATATAATGTTTATGATCTTCCTAGCAAGAACTGGATTAGGAAGAGAATAGGGAAAAAAAACACACTTGGACAAGTTTCGTTCTTCACCTTTGGTCGACTTGGGAACGTTACTTGCCGGTTTTTACCGCGTCCGCGTCAGACGGCGTGACGTCAGATTCGTTGCAGAGGACGCACACGAACGCTCTCAGCAATCCGGACGCTTACAAAATGTGTAAGGAATATTTTATTTTTCACTGCGGGTCATATCTTTGCGAATGTCCATAAACACATCATTTGCAGTTTATGGACACTAAATCCTACAGAAACTAAAGCTTGAGATCGTTTTAACTAACGACATAACTTCGTCAGATCTCGTATTTACAGACTTCGATAATGTTATTGCATTTTCATTAAAAAATTTATACGCGAGAACAGATATTGCTGTTTATACCTACATATACGATATCCATATATACGATACCTAAATATTTGTGATAGTAATTATTACTAACAGTAAAATCATTTTACACAATTTTCCTACAAACTCGAACGACATTGCCTAGAAGACAAGGAAGTGTCTGGATGCTTTTGAGCAGGGTTGGGGGATAAACAGATTTTTGAAATATTAAACAGATTATGTATATATATTTTTATCTTCTAGTGTAATATAGAATTTGGCAAATAAACTTTTTTTGAAATAGTTACACATAGAAATAGCATTTCAAATATATGTAACTACGTAATATCCATATGAAGTTATTATTTCAAGAAAGGTTTATTTGCCAAATTCTGTATTACACGGAAGATAAAAATATTCACGGTCTATTTACTGTTTCAAAAATCTATTTTTCCCCAGCAATGCTTTCGAAGGGTAGCGTAGTTCGATCTTAATTTAGTTAGACACGTGGGAAGAGAGTCAACGCGAAAGATTTCTTAAAAGTCACGAACACGAATTAGCCGATGATTTTCGAGAGTTCTGCAAATATACCATACATTTCCAAATGTATAAATAAAATGATGAAATTTGAATTGCAAAATTTATAGTAATTGTCCTGATTGCTCGACAAGTGCCCGCACATTAATTTTAGAAAGTATAGTGAAACACATTTCCAAATGTATAAATAAAATTATGAAATTTAAACTGCAAAATTTATAGAAATTGTCCAGATTGCTCGACAAGTGCCCGCACATTAATTTTAGAAAGTATAGTGAAACACATTTCCAAATGTATAAATAAAATTATGAAATTTAAACTGCAAAATTTATAGAAATTGTCCAGATTGCTCGACAAGTGCCCGCACATTAATTTTAGAAAGTATAGTGAAAACAACGGCAATAGTTGGATTTTCACATCTATCAATTTATCTATGATCGATTGCGACGTTAAAATCAATAAGACAGTCACAGATTAGCGTATAGTCACAGATTACTGTGAGTATTAAAAAGAAACCTACTTGAACGTGAGAATCTTAATTTGTAGGACAAAAAAGAAATTTACTTCTTGCAATTCTTTCATGCGAAGATTTCTGAATGTAG